TTTCCAATATTTTCATGAAAAAACTGTGCGATAATTTAGAGATTTTTGATCTACACAAAAATTATCTTAGTTAGTTGTCCCTAATCTTTAATTGATAGAGGAAATGCAGCTAATCAAGCACTCTCCGCCAACTCTTTGGATTTCTCTAATCGAATAGTGGGATTTGACCGTCACTCTTATAACGCACACACGGCCTCAAAGTGCAAAGTGCGAGATTTTCGCAACAACAGGACGCGAACCATGGGCCCTCAGGTTCACAATCCAGCATGCTAATTCTAGGCCACGCCCTGCCAGATCAATACAAACATGACATAAGTAAAGCAAAACTCAATCATGAAAATCCACTGAGTCATACATTTTGCCCATTTATTGTGTTTCTACATAAAATGCAATAAAGCAAAAACATTACTTCCCAATGTAACATCATATTATTTTACTTGGATTTGAAATCTGCAAAAACAAAGCAATCTTGCTATACGTCATCACTGGAACTTATTTTCATGGAGAATACACAACGAAGCATACCAGTAAAAAGACAAGGTCATCCTGCTATAAACAAAAAAAAAAAAATCTTCTATAGACTTTATTTTAAACTTTACACGAAATGCCAGGCACATCTTCTTTTTTCAAACTTGTTATAAGTAACTAGTCCCCAAAATGACTGAGTAATCTATAAATAAATATTTATGTTTTAGAAATAGTATTATTTTGAACTCGGTTATTACTCCTACTTTACTGAGAAACATTTTTCTATCTGATAACGTAGTAGTCATATCGGAAGAAATAATTCACCCTCGTTATATTCTTATATGCTTTAAACTTTGCAGTTTGATGAACTCCGTGATAGGAAAAAAACAACAACAAGGCTTAGCCAGCTCATGTAGATGATTTTTATCGTTCGTAATTTCTGCCTTAATATTAGACTGAATAAGAATAAAATGCTAACATTTTTATCAGAGACTTTTTATTGTGTACTATTTCAAACACCTGAATGATAAAAGAAATATGTTTCATGTATTGATGATCTGTGTAATCTTTATATATATATATATAAAGCACAAAAAATTGCGTCTGTATGTTTGTCCCCTACCTAACTACTCCTAAGATGCTGGGTCAATCTCATCCAAACTTTGTGGGATGATAGTTTGGAACATGGGGCATATTAATGGGGTTTACAATCCTTCCATCCCCAATATTGCTGTTATTGGGCATTTATTACCTTTGATGCAAGTTAACGTTGAGTGCATTCATAGATGGCGCCATGTCCTTACACAAAAACAAACAAACAAAAAATTAAATCTACCCT